CCGGAGACTGATCTGCCTCGCCCGGGAAGAGCGCAATGATGGTGCCAACTTGGGCCAGTGAAGCAACGTCCTCCACAACTAGACTGAAGAACGAAAAGACAGCAACTTGTCTGTTCCCCTTTCCCCAATTCCCCAATAAAAATCTTTAAAAAAAAAAAATTGGATATGACCTTCACAGAGAACGTGCATACCCACCCACCCAGCTGCCGCACACACACCTTCGCCTTTTAACAGTTTATTTCAAAGCTGCTATATAGCTATAGATGTAATCACCAATGTTCAACTGTTTTTCTGGATAGTTTCTACATACAGCCTTTTCCTGAGGCTACCAGATTTGGGAATTGTTCACTGGATAAAGTCGAATTGGTCATTGTTGCCAGGAAAAAAAAAAAAAAAAGATTTTTCTGTTTTCACAAGCTCCTAGAAGGACTGTTTTAATACTTTCCCATGGGCCCGCGGGGTAACGGCTCTGACGGACGCTCACCCTTCAGGTGCCAGGATTTCTGCGTCCTCACACCAAAGCTCACACCTCATGCACTCAAGTGTCTCAGATGCGAGAGAAAAATTGGATATTTAGAGCTCTTTGATGGAGTTATAAGTATCCAATTAGTCATTCCCCAGGATGTTAGGAATTCTGTACATCACCTCACGCTGCTGTAAACACAGGGCATGAATTCTTGATGGATTCAGGCTTTCTGATTTATTTTTCCCCCAAGGTACTCCATCAAGGAATGCAAGTCATTTGTCTTGTCAAAGCTTTCCGTCCTTCCCTGGAGACCGTTGTGGTGTCTTTCTCGTTTTTCCTTCTGCGTCTGGGGTCCGGGCTGAAGTGACCGAAAGCATTACCCCTAGAATAGCTGCCCTCGGCCCCAGCCAGGAGGGCAGAAGCCTTGATCCCAGCCCGGCCCCGCTGAGCCAACTCTGGGTCACGAAGAACACACAAAATGAACACCTGTCTGTTGTGCTTTGTTCCAGAGCTGGTGATGCTGCTGGAGTGGTGGTCGGGCACCGAGTGTATCATCCACACGGACCCCCAGGCCTACCCCCAGTTTGGGAAAGAAAACGCCATCGTGGTCCTGAACCATAAGTTCGAGATCGACTTTCTCTGCGGCTGGAGCCTGGCCGAGCGCTTTGGGGTTTTGGGGGTAAGTCGGATGCCCGTTTACCCTCCTGACACATTTCTCTCATTCTCACCGTAACTTGCCTTTGGCTCTCAGTCATCCAGAGCTCGCAGGGGCATTAAGCGAGTTTCGACTTGGTGAAATGTTTTGAACCAGCTGCGTTTCCTCCTTGCATGGACTGAAGATGAACATCACACGGGCCATCGTAATATCCGTTCAGCAAATACGGTGGGCTCAGCACTTTCCATGCAATTGGTTTATTTGATCCTTACGGAAAAGCTTGGGAGTCAGTTAGACACACCCTCCCCATTTTCAAAAGCTAAGTTGAGATCACCTGCTCAGGATCACACAGCCGTGGAGCAGATTCAGGCTTGAACTTGTCCTGTTTGACGCCATTCTTGTCCTTGATGTCTGTGCTCTGCTGCTTTCCTGGCTGACATGCACCATTCACCTCCGAATATTCAATTTGGGGCTCAAGAAAGTGGAATCCCTAAGCGAGTGAGTTTGAACTGCAGAATTTAGAATACATAGGAAATGCCGGTTTTCTTTAACTGGTTTGACTTCTTGCATGCCCTTGAGTCTGGGTCTCTTCAGGTGACTTTTACCACCTTCAACACATCGAGTTGTATAATGGCGGAACCTGTGTCAGATCTGTAAATGGCTGAGCCTGTGTCAGGTAACTGAATCGAGTCATCAGAGGGAACCGGTATTCCAACAGGAGTCGCAGCAGGGCTTGGCCTGGGCCACGAAAGGCTGCGACAGCTTGCACTAGAACGAGGGTTACAATTCCCCACAGACCGATGGGGGGGTGCTCACATCACACTTGTTTTTGGTGGCCCATGGAGACAAAATCCGTGTAGAAGACTGAAGACCAGGGAGAGTAGATGGGACAAGGTTCCCAGGGACATTCCCCAGGTGTCCAGACCCCGAAGTGCCTGCCAAGCCTCAGAGTCCACAGGCCTGTTTTTTTTTTCAGGCCTGCTTGGCTCTGCTCGTTTGGAAAGACCCATGGCTACGGGGGATGAAATAGCTTCAGGACATATTTTGTATATGCTTTTAAACATTTGTGTATTTTGAAATCGGGGGCAAAAAGAGAGAGAAAGAAATGATGAAAGAAACACATCCCATTAATGTTGTTAGGACAAATGATGGATGTTACGATGCCATTAAATGGCCGAAAGGCAGCTAAGGCCTTCAGTAGCTTTTCAAGAGATGGGAACAGTGTGTTAAATCACTGTTGCCTCCTTAAGGCTTTTAGGAAACGGGGTTGCCTGTGAGGGAATGCACTGAAAGGGTTTCTAGGAAAGGACAGGCCCTCCTGCCAACAGGTTTTTGTTCCTATTTATTCTTCCAGGACTGACTGGATGTGTGTGTGTGTGTGTGTGTGTGTGTGTGTGTGTGTGTGTGTGTGTTCAAACATATTTTCAGGAACAAAACCAAAAATTCTACTATCTACCTTTCTCTGTTTTAGACAACTCGGGAGAGATCTCCACTACGGTTTTGAGGCTTTGTTATCTTGGAGAGGAGAGATAAAAATATATAGTCCTAACCCCATCGTGGGTGCAAATGATTAATGATGGGCGGGCACCCGTGCCTTCACACCCTGACTGCTATTAATAGAAGACTTGTGCTGCCTCAGGGCTCGACTCCTGGAACACCGGCTACTCCTAGTGTGGCTTAGGGGCAGCTGGTGGCTTTGCAGGCTCCCACATGGCCTGGTGGTGTTCACGCTGAGCGTGGGAAAGCCCGTGTGGTTTGGGGTGGGGGTCCTCGTGGTACAGCTATTACACTGGGACTTGCAGGCACTCCCAGTCCCCGCGGTGCCCTGGGAGCTCTGTGGCCACTGGCTCTTTGTGTGCCATTCACCTTATTAATGCCATTTCTAATCCTTAGGACACCCTGTTATTTATAGTTTATAAATAAACTCTCAGAGCTTCCATTTGAGTAATAAATTTGCCCCAGGAAAGTAACTGGTACGCAGCCTGATTTCAGCTTCTGCTCTTTCCCCTGGAGGCGTTGAGAGGAAACGCTGTGGGGCCCCAGGCCTTCGGGGTCGGCTCCAGACGGCCCTGCAGCCTGCCCGTTGGAAAACCACCAGGGCCACCTGTGGGCAGGCACCAGGCTTCCAGTTCCCTCCTGGCTGGTGGTGTGTGCATGGCTCACGCTGAGGGGTGGATTCTTTCATCAGGACAGGGGTGGGACCAGCAGGAACTGATGAGGCAGCAGCACAGACACCACAGTCAGCAGCCGCAGGGACACAGGCACAGATAGCAGAAAAGGGTGGAGCCTACATGTGTTCAGAGGAGAGTCACGTGTGCAGAGAGGACTCAACACTGAGAGGGACCCAGGACTGGGAGGGGGACCCAGGACTGGGAGGGAAACCCGGGACTGAGAGGGGATTCAGGACTGGAGAGAACCAGGGACAAGCCGGAACCCCAGGACTGAGAGCTAGAAGCTTTCATGGAATGATGGAGTGTAACTATCTCAGCACCATTTAGGGTTTTTCACTGAGGACTTTGAAATCCGTGTCACTTTACAACCTGAGCACAGGGCACCGTGCGGATGAACTGAAAGTGATCACACAGCATGCCCGTCCCCCAACATCAGAGGGTCTTTTCATCCCAACCTGGATTTCTTAAATGAATATTGTGTTGGTAGGATTCTGTTTCTTCCTCTTAAAAGCCAAACAACGTAGGCCGTGTGTACAGGGGTGTGAGCAGGGCCCTGTACCTGGACTTTCAGGAGACTCCTCCCAGCAGTGAGGCAGGCAGGTGTCAATCCTTTGGCCAGGGTGATGTATCTCCCATTCTCGCTGCAATCTGGGAAGCCCTGCAAACCGCCAGAACTGTGGGAAGGGCAGGAAGGACCAGTGGGTGACCACTTTCCCCTCCTCCAGGCACAGGAGAAACAGCCGGAGCTGCGGCCGTGCAAATTCAGGTGAGGCACCTGCCGCCTGAAAAGGCTGGTGAAGGGTATGGTGACCTTGTAGGGGGCTGGGCAGCTCAGGTGGAAGCTGCCAGGCCATGTTCTCCGGGGGACAAGTGACCATCTCTGTGTGTCTCCTGGAGCAGCTGAGGTCCTGTGGGAGGATGTGGTGCCTGATGAGCTGGCTGGCCTCTGTCCAAAGTCACCCATTCATTTCTACGACCCTTGAAAAGAACGACATGCCATCTTGTTACATTCATTGTTCAGCAGTACCTTTTATCTTAAATGACCTTCCAAAAAAAAACCAAAATCACCTGATTCATCTCTCTTCTTAAAATAACACGTGATGTTGAGATGCTTTTGGAGTCAGGGGGGCTTGCTCTTTAGAGAACGGGCAGGAGGAAGGTTCCTGGCTGGGCATTCTTTCATCCTCTCATGTAACAGCTCAAGAGAAAGTGAGCTTAAATTGAAGCAAGTGAAATCTGCAGACATCCTGGAGAGCGGGGTTATTATATAAAGCATCCAAGGGCCCCGTGTGGTCACCCTGGTGTCCTGTCCCTGGACGCTTTGCTTCCTCTCACAGCTGCCATTTCATGGTGTGGGCTGTGGTTTTGACCTTCGAGAAATATACTGACTCCTGTCTGGGGATAAGTGTGACCTGAGGACAGTTGAGAGCATGTGTCCCTAAAGAGCCAAACAAACCGGGATGAGCAATGCAAAAAGTCAAGGTTCTGAAGCTTCGGGTCCATGTTTACTTATCTTTTTGCTACAGCAACGTGTGCCTGTGGCCCCGGAGGGTTACTTAAGGTCACGCTTGTCGGGGCTTTCAGTAGCACCAGGCGCTGGTGAGCGTTCTGTACACAGTAGCTGTGCTTGCGATACTCATCTGCTGGGTAGGTGTGGCATGGCTAACCCACAGGCCAACTGGGATGTTTTCTTCAGATCCTTACCGAAGCCACAGAGATTCCTTATCTCTGGCTGCATGACTAGCCCCCAGATGAAGCGGCTGAAACAGCAAGCAAGTCTTATCTTGGTTTGTGTGGTCACAGGCTCTGGCAGGCATCTCTCACGAGGTTACAGTCAGGCCACTGGCCGGGATGATGCTCTGGCCAGCATGGCGCGCTGCCTCTGTGGTCACTCCTGTGTTTGTTTCCAGGTCTGCTCCCTGCCCAGGGCCTCTTCTCAGGGTTTCCTCTGGTTTGGGGGCCTGGCTTCCCTCGGAGACAGCAGTGCAAGAGAGAGGGGAGGAAAGCACCCAGGGCTAAAGCCACAGCCTTTTTATAACCGAAACTTGGAAATGCATTCTGTTGGTTAGAAGGGTCCACGAGCCCAGCCCAGCTCCCGGGAAGCCGGTGGGTGACGCAGGGTGTGAATGCCAGGAGGCAAGGTCACTGGGGCCAGTGTGGAAACTGCCTGCCACACCACAGCGTGACGTTTAGCGCCAGACATTTTCCATTTAGTAAATATTATTAAGGAGATATGTTCCCGCTCAGCCAGAAAACAGATTGAATTTTCGTTGCTTTTCTTTGTACAGGGAGAGGTGGAAAGAAGAGAGTAGAATCATGATTCCGGAGCAGAAGGCAGCCTGTTTGATGTCACTAAACGCTGTACTGCCTTCTGCATATGAGGATTGATGATGATGATAGCAATCGCTACATCTTCAGATAGTTACCCAACAAAAACGCATTGTGTGTGTTTTCTGTAGAACACATTGCACTTGCTGTCAAGGACTTTATAATAAAGAGTGGTAAAGAAGGCATATATCGCCTGCCACCCAGAAGGGCTTGAAGAGGGCAACAATAGAGGTGGGACATGTTTGCCGGGGTGGCAGCGTGTGGGCAGGCAGGGGCGATACCCAGTCAGCCTCTACAGCGGCACCTAGGGCTTCCTTGTCATCGCTGGGTGTCATCCTGTCTTTTACTGGGGTTGTCCCAGGGAAGAGCTGGAGTAGACTATTGGGGGGCAAATTCTGGCGTTTGGGGTAGCTCTGTTTACCAATCTGTGGGGAAGAATGTCAATATTTTAACAAACTGGTACAACATTTTGGGGCTTAACCTGCACACTGACTGTTGGCCCTCCAGGGTGGAAGCTTCCAGAAG